TGAAAGTTACCTGACTATACTTACAACAGAACTAGAACTTGAGTTCTTATAGTTTAGCAATCATTTTCAAAGTATACATTCCATAATCACATAAAATAAGCCATTTTTTCACGTAATAAGCATACGGTACGAACAATCAATTAGACCACTGTTTAATTACAGCTCAAAGCTACAGATGTTCCGCCTCTGCCGGACACTAGTCTACATAAAATTTATCGACGGCTGATGACTGAGCAACGTATTCATAAAACTTTGCCATCACCTCTTCATAACATTGTCGTCATCATACACTTTGCCCACTAGGTATTCGCCTGGGTTATCAGTGGTCACGGAGGTTATTCGACAGACTGCTGATGATCGACAAAATGAGACGAAGATACCAGTCAGCAACGGAGTCTCTACCCGTTCTAAACGAAGGAGGCAGACCGTACGGTGCCATTATAACATGTCAGAAGAAGCCTCACAGAAATGACACCTCTAGTGGAAACTTGCAATCAGAAATTGGAACAAATTATCACTCAGAGGGAAAGACCAGGGCCGTGGTTGTCGAGGATGCAAGATATCAACTATAAACAGCTCCACTTTCGTCAACGAAGCACCATGGCTCTGGAATTCTAAACATTTAAGGGTGGAACACATTCCATAGAAGTGTCTATATCACAAACTCAAACTGCCTTGCAAAATCATTGAATGCAAGACCTTCAGCGGAAGAGTGACAATTCTCTGACAAAGGCCAAAACAAGCTAAGGTTTTGACTGACTATTTGTCTAGGCGTATAATTTGAGGGGGAATGTGATTCATTCGTGGAGGAAGTAGAAAATGCTTTGTACGAAGTGCCGACTCCGGAATCCATAATGATAATCAACAATTCAAATGCGTATGTCTGAACAAACATTTAAAAATACAAAATCTTGATCGAAAGAAATGGTTTCAATGATATCAACAACGGCATGTAGCAGTTACGTTTTACAACACAGGCAACGAACTGTCCATTTTGAACACCTTCTTTGAGCATCGAAGCGTGAATCAGTACACTTTGTACCCAGCTTGTGCACAGAAGTCGATGACCGATTTGATAATCGTATAGTTTGACTTAAGACGCTCAGTAATCGATGTTCGCGTTAAGAGAGGCGCAGAGTTATCAACCGATCATCATCCTGTTGTTGGCACGCTGAGCTGCAAGAAATGGAGCACAATACGAAGATCTGATCTTTAGTCTG